TTTGTTTTTCAACCAATGAACATGTGACGGCTGTGAAATTTGTATACTTTGTTATTTTACTTTAATTATGCTATTTTTGTGATTAATTATATAAAAAAATTAATTAAAGATCTATAATTTTAATTTATTTTTCTAATATGGTAAATATTTTTGTAAGAAGATTTTTTTGGGGGGTAAATTTAAAATAAAGTAGGGGCAGATGTGAAACTTGACGTTACCTTGACGGCGGGACAATGTCATATCGTGAAGAACGCGGAGTGTTCTATTATTGTTGGCCATGTGGGGACTAATGAGGCAGAGGAGTGTTATTCTGAAAGCTACACTTCCAATAGTTTCCAACATGTTTCCAGATGCTCAGGGTATTTAATTTAACGACGTCAATTTTCTAACCTTAATTTTATACATTTTATTATTTAATATTAATAATTTATATTATTTTTAAATTTTGTGTTATCGTTGTGTCGATGGGTAAAACTAGCAACCCCTTCTTAACAGCCCCCACTCACTCACTCACTCACTTAACTCTCATGCTGTCATGCAGTGCTATTTCCGTTAACTTTCTGTTTAAATGCCAAAAAGGGTAAAAAAGTCCACGGGGACAACAACTCGAAAGCAGAAGGCAAAGGCCGAAAGGCAAATAGTGAAATGCCAAAAAGGGTGAAAAAGTCCACGGGACAATAAGTTTGAAAGCAGAAGGCAAAGACCGAAAGGCAAATAGTGGAGATTCAATTAGGCTATGATTTTAAAACTAAAAACTGTTGTTCTATGTAAAAGGTCTGAAGTGCCCCTATATGGAACAGATATACCAAATTGTGGAATGCCTAGAAAACCCTTTATGGTTTTTTTGGATGATCTTTGAGGAAAGGATTGAATTGCTTTCCTTAAATTCTTTCAAATACAACCCTTACTTTTTTTTTCGTGGGATTTATTGACGAATCTAATTCATACTCGTGTAACCTATACACATGCAAACCCACATATATATCACCATTTATCATTATATATTTGTCCTATAAATAACTATATTGTCTATTAGTAAATTCAATTCATACTCATATTTGTTTAACTTAGGGATACAAATGACATTTATATCACTAATCCGGATATAGCTTGACTAGAACCCACTCCCCGTGGGTTTGATGAAACCCACGTTCAAAAGTTTAAAGTGCCGGGTCAGTTACAGGGCAAGACTACTGTTCATGACTTGAAAAAGGCATCTAAACAAGAAATTTTTTCAGAAAGTACAAATCTAAACAAAGATTTTAAGAGTTCATTGTACTATTTTTCTAAAACCCATTTTGCCAATCTCCCCATACCTATTTACCAAACAATCCCTTAATGCAGCGTGCAACTTGGAAAACCTACATGGCTTTGTTGGATACTTGGATCAAGTTTAATCTAGGACTTTATAAATTTAATATTTAAACCATGACTAATAATATCAATTATTAGGCATAGTGTCTTCTTCAACTTTGAATACTAAGTATTTTTTAATCTTGTTGATAATTGAGTCTCACATGGTCCCTTTAACAACTTAAATCGATTTTTTAATACCTTAGAACCATCTGTTTTGATGTGAATAGTAATGCCCGCTTACAATTAAATTGAAGTGAGAGAAACCTTATAGTTGCATGACGATGCAATAAAAGGAATAGTTAAGGGGTTAGAATATAATTTTTCCTTGATAAAATTTAAAATTGAGTGGCACTGGATCTTTGTGACCTACAATATGCCTAAGATTTGGTGCTAATCATCACAATGTTCTTGTTTATTTTTGGCTGGTTTCACAAATTCTAAAAATAGATGGTGATAGGTGAGATGAGACTTGCTTTATCAATTACTAGTTGCACTACGTTTTTGTTAAACGCCTACATGGAATGAAGTTATGCGAGGTGACACCGGTATTGTGTCAACCAAAGCCTTTCCAATATTTTAGTCAATTATGTTAAACATTTCAATAATAAAAATTAATTATTACGCAAATATGTGTGATTATAATTCTATATATATATTGCTACGAATGAATGTCTTTCCATGAGAACTCATCTTCAAATGAATTTGAATGGATGTCTTTTACACATTTAAAAAAAAATAAGTGCAATTTCATGTATTTGTGTCTTGATATGGAAATTAGTCTCTTGAAAATATATTTTTTCATGAAAATATGTCTATTAGTGAAAAGGTGTCTTTGCATCTCTTCATTATCTATAAATAAAAATGCATTCATCAAATTTCTAATAGACCAAAACATGTATATTCTTCCTCCCAAAACTCCCGTACTTTCTTGTGGCATTATTCTTCTTCTTTCATTCAAGTTCGGGCTATTAGGTTGCCTAAATCTTTCAAATAGTAACATATGAATCTCGATATCCATTGTATCTTGGAGACAATTTGTCTTCTAGGGGTTTTTTTTGCATTTGCAATACTTATTAAAATGGTGACAAACTCGTCTTAAAGATAGTGAATACATTTGTATTGTGGGGATTTAGGTTTTCTCTATTATATTTCACTCAATAATAGATCACTCACATTGTATGGGTAAAAGGAGTCCCACTTAAATTCATATTGTATGCATGATCTATTATTGAGTGAAGTTAAATAAAATTGTAATATAGAATTTCAATTTTGTATTTAGTGATTTTTACTATTATTAGTCAAATTAGGAGAACGTCTACGAGAAGCTATTAGTTGTAGCCCCTTTTCCGAGCTGCAACCATTCTTTGATCCTTATGTGAGACCTTTGGTCATACTTTTCAATGATCTTAGTTTAGAGTTCTAAGAGATCATGAGAGATCACGAGGCAACAAGAATTTCGAAGGTTAGGGTCTCCCAACGCAATTCAATTTGTAACCAAATAGAAGAAGTCTCCCTAAATTGATATATAAAAAGTAATTTTTATCTAATCAATTTAATTCTCGATTGTTAAGTGATCGTGATAAAAAAAAGGAATTCTACATCACAAGGCAAGACATTGTCACAACGTGGTTACGTTAAAACCAAATAATGAGAGGGAAAAAGAAAAAAAAATTTAAAAATAATATTTGTAGATCTATGCTTATTAACTAAAATATAAATATTATTTATTATATTAATTGACACATCATTTAATTTTTTTTTATATTTTATTATTTGGTTAGTGTAGGATTACCCAACTTATAATGGCAAAAACCTTACAAGTATGGTGCTTTAATTGATAATATGGTGGTTCTAAACATTGCATAGGTTAAAGGAACAGTGGAAGTTCGATATTAGGTCACATCAACGTTAATTAAACTTAATCACTTTTGGCTTTTGGTGCCAGTGCCACCCAAATATGACATATTATTCAAAAAAGCACAAATTTTCAAGTCCATATGGTCTTGATTTTGTTATTTTGTGTACCCCAAAGTCTTTCATGAAGATATGGGGATTTGGATTCTTTCAATTTTAAAAGTTACTCAATATTTTCCTCCATTTCAATCACCCACATTAGTAGTGGAATCCATGAGTTATAAGTTAAAGTAATTTAAAGTCTCAACCAGACTGAAAGACTCTGATTCGCTAGAAACTATAATATAATAATTAATTCTTAGTTGGCATAATCCTTCGTTTAAATCACTATCAATTTGGGGATAATCAAGAAGAGACAAAACGTGCATCAACCATATTGAGTTATATATTTTGGAAGCCATATGCTTCAATTGAGACTAAGATATTTGCACAGGTAAAAACATAAAACAACCTTCTTAGGCTCTTTACTCATAGGATTAAATTTAAGATGTTAGTCACTGGTTCAAATGACACATGCTAAAGTTTTTGATCATAAAAATAAATAAATAATTATAAATGACTTAGACCATTTGTTTGATTTTTTAATTTTATTCTAATAGATAATATGATTGTATAATAATTATAATTTTTTAAGAAAAAATTAGATTTTTATTTTTAATTTTATTTTAATAAATGATACAATATAACATAAATTTTAGCTGTAAAATTTAAAATATTTGATATTCTATTTTTAATTTAAATTTTTTTAGTTTAAGTATAACATTTTAAACTTAAAGAGTTTAAGTATTATACGCATATAAGCTTCAGGGAATCGGGATATAAATTACTAACATATATACTAAGAAGATCGAGGTAGGGATGACAATGGAATGGGTAAAAATTGGTATTCATCCAAACCAATCCCGTTTGGACCGGGGATGGACCATACGTATTGAACGATATACGTATATGAAGATACCCATATAAAACCGTACGGGGATGAAGGCGGAGATGGGCTGACACTTATCCCCTCCTCGCCCCTCCCACTCCGCTTTACTCATTATTTTTATTATATATACATGTTGTTATGAATACAAATCTACATATTATTGAAAGATTTTTTCTTTTGAATTTTTTTTTTGACTTTTTTTTTTTTCATGTTTTTGACTTGTTAAAATGTAGATCTTTGTGTTTTTGTATTTTTTTTATGTTGGATTATATTATATTGCATTATATTATGTTGGATTATATTATATTGCATTATATTATGTTGGATTTGCACGGGAGATGAGATTTTAATTATATTATGTTGAATTATGTTGTAAATGACAAATTTTTAATTATGTTATAATATTCTATAATTATGTTGAATTATTCAAAATGTTAAATTTATTTATAATTTTAGATTAAGTTGGCTTGGATTTAGGTGGGTAAGGTGGACGAGGGGCGGAGATTATAAATTTATCTACAGACGGAGATGAGGATGAAAAATATATCTGTTAACGAGGGTGGATAGAGGATGCGCAAAATTTTTTTAAGCGGGTACGAGGATAGAGACTATATCCCCCGCCCCTACTTCGGTTCACTGTCTTTCCTAAGTAGGGGTTAAAATATTATATGTGTATAAATTTCAGGGATTTATATAAAATATTTTAAATGTCACAAAATCTGGATGTTTAAGTGAAATCTGAGGGTCCGGTTATAATTATCCAAAAAAAAACAAAAAAGGCAAGAAGTCTGGTTATCGATAGTTCTTATTGGCCGCACTGACAGAAGAGGAAAGTGAGAGTTGTTTCGATTGCATCAACTCCTTCTACCGGTCACTACCACTTTCTCTCTCTTCTTTATCTCACCACTGTCATCAACTCCACCTCCACTTCCGCTTCCACTCACACTTACACTCAACCACATCTTTAGCTCAGCTCTAGAGGAAAAAAAACAATAGTTGGAGAGAAAATAGGTAGACATATGTATATAACCATACTGATTGAGAAAGAGTGGTTTTGTGCTCTGTATTTTGTTCTTTTGTGTTATATTATATATTCTCTTTTTAACTGGTGATAGTTAAAATTATCCTCTTCTCTCGATATGGGCAATTTTGATTTTTGAGGTCGTACAAATGTTATTATGCGCTACACATACAGTGTTTTGTGTTGTAAACATAGGTTAAAAGCTTCACTACTGTTGCTTCCTTAGGATTTATGGTGGGGAATTGAAGCAGAATCTGCTGTTAGTTCTCATTGGTTCTCTGTTTTTCTCTGTTCTGGGTCTCTGAATCTGCTTAATACCAGAGTAATTTTAGTTGTAGTCAAGCTATACATACATATACATACATATATATATATATATATCACATGCTTGTGGTGATTTGGACGAAGATCTGTTAGAAGTATTTAAAGTCTTGATTGATGCATGTTTTGTGAATGAAGAAAAGCCAAGGAGAGATGTATGAGATTCTTCTGTTCTTGTGCTTTATATTGGTTTTGATCTGTTTGATCTTTCTTCAACTTTCTTGATTACTAGAAAATCAATGGACTCAGATTTCCCTCATCATCATCAGCAGCAACAACAACAGATGAATTCTAGTTTGACGCGGTATAAATCCGCCCCAAGTTCCTATTTTGCAAATCTGGTGAATAAAGGTGGCTATGGAGGAGAAGATTTGGAACAGTTGTTGAATCCTCGGGCTACTATTCCTGAAACGGAGCGAATTTTCCCAAGATTTGTGTCTGAAACTGGTTCAGAAAACTCAAACTCTCATATGTATGGTATCGGACAAAATTCCTCATCAAATGGACCGGCTCAATCACAAATTGTGGCGCCATTGAAGCGCGAAACAGAGTTTCATCATCATCAGCAGCAACAACCACAACAACAGCAGAGCAATAATTATGCTTCAGGTTCTCGGATGATTTATCAGAGCCAATCTCAAGCGCATCATGACTCAGAGGCCTCCAATTCGGGTATTGATAACTCGTATAGATTGCCTAGTTCGCTGGCCATGGATGGTTTGCCTTATATGAAGATGGGTGGTGGAAGTAACTCAAATCTTATTCGTCATAGCAGCTCACCTGCTGGATTATTCTCCCACATCAATGTTGAAAATGGTATCCTTTTTAGCAACCTGATCCCATGTTTCTTTTGGGTTCTTCTAATCCATGTTTTGAGGTTAGAAAAAATATTGCATGTATTGTTGCTTAGAGACTTACGACTTAAAGAGTCAAATTCTAGTTGATTATTTCATTTCCTGGTAGATCAAGTATAGGTAGGGCTAATGATTACCCATTTCATTTTTCTTCATATGATGTGTGTTATGTGAACTTTGTTTTTACTTCAAATAAGCAAGTTGCTTGATAATTGTAATGGATGTGAGGACAAGACATAGAGGCATAGATGTAAACATAGGGGAGAGAGTAAGTTGCTTGGAGTGTATTTTCAACGGCACCACATAAATGAAATAAAAAATAAACCAGAGTAAAAATTTTATATGTGACCATAGGTTCTTGGACTTAATTTGGGGCTAAATTCCATGTGTTTTGAATATGACATGAATTGGAGGATGTTGCTAAAAATGTTTTAGCAATTTGCAGGCTATGGTTTAGTAAGAGGCATGGAGAGTTTTGGACCTGGTGATAATACTAATGCCGAAGCATCATTTTCCTCTACAAGCAGGTTGAAGGGTCAAATGGATATCTCATCAGGGCTGCCTTCATCTTCAGGGCTAATGTCTCATACCTCCGAGATTGGGAGCAAAAACATGGTAGAGATACTAGAGAATAGTCCTGGAGATGGAAATTTTGGTGAAGGCCGGAAAAACCATGGTGGTTACATTACAGGTTTCCCAATTACTTCTTGGGATGATTCAGCAATTTTGTCTGATGACTTCCTGAAAGGGGTTGGCGATAATGACAGAAAGGTTTTTTGTAATTTGAATGCTTCAGAAAATCAGGTATAATTTTTTTAATCCAATGTTGTTTTGATTTCTAATCATGTCTGGTGACTATTAATCTGATCATAGGTCTTCATTGTGATTAGAATGGCCAAGGTGAAAATCAATCTCCCACTATGTTGTCTCGTCACTTGAGTTTGCCAACAAGTTCAGCAGAGATGGAAAAGCTACTGCAGCTTCAAGATTCTATACCTTGTAAGATAAGAGCCAAGAGGGGTTGTGCAACTCATCCAAGGAGTATTGCCGAGAGGGTAAATCATTCTAAGTCCTAAACATCTCATGTGCTGACCATTGGCTGCCCTCGCCTTACTTAAAAAATACTTGTTTATTTTTTTCCTGGTAAAAAAGCCACATGGTTGGAGTTTGCATTGCATTAATGAATGCGTGTGATTTAAATAATATTTTGAAAACATCTGCACCCTGCAATTAATGTTTCAGGTGAGAAGAACCCGAATTAGTGAAAGGATGAGGAAACTACAAGAACTTGTCCCCAATATGGACAAGGTAAAGTCCTGATTTCTATCTCTTCTTTATATGTATTTGCAAGCTCAGCAATTTTGTTTGTTCCTTTATATTTGCAGCAAACAAATACGTCAGACATGTTGGATTTAGCTGTTAACTACATTAAAGGCCTTCAGAAACAAGTCCAAGTAAACATTACGATGCATAATTTATGAAGGATTCGAATCTAAACCGAAAAAGCCTTTGAAATATCTCTATTTGTTCTAAAATCTATTCATGTTTGAATTTTTGCAGACCCTATCAGATAATCGAGCAAAGTGTACATGTCCAGATAAGGAGAAACCATAGCCTAGAAGGCCCAAGTATGCTATGGTTTGTTTCTGTACAGGAAAAAGGAAATATAAGTAGATGGATCCACTTTGGTTCTGAAATCAAGAAGAGTGAGTGGATTAGTATTTTGTGTCAAGGGAAATACAGAAATGCCACGTTAGTTTTTTCTTAAATGGAAGTTGTATATTATTAATTTTCAAATGTATTTAACTTGTGTTTTTGATATATAGATCAACCACCATTAGTTACATAGCTCAACCAACTACAGCAATTTCAATTAGCCGTTTTCTGCTCTTCATTAGCCATTTCAACTAGGAACAAATATTTTTGAAACAGTTAATGAATCATAAGTCGTAATTCTCTTCGAAATCAGTCCTCGGCCTCGTGACACTTTGCAGACCTCCTTATTAGCAGAAAATATTTAATGTAAAGGTAATATCGCCTCAGCATTATCACATCGGCTGTATACTTTTTCATTGTAGTCAATAACTATCTGCATGGGATTTATTTTATCCAATTAATATTTTTTTAAAAAAAAATTATAGGGCAATAATGGCACGAGATCACTTCACATTTAATATTTACTCCCTTATAATTGAGTCTTCTGTTTTTCTCAAGTCAGTTTCGTATGTTTTAACTCGTCATTTTAATAACGATCCAATGCATTGCATCTGCCTTTTGGTCAGAGATGCATGTCTTGTGCCGTGTCCTGTCGTCTAAATTCACGTGTCTTAATCTACAATGTTGACACCACGGCTAAAAGAATGTTACATTGGGGTAAAATGCTTATTTACAATGTTGACACCTCAGCTAAAGCAACGTCTAACATTGGGGTAAAATGCTTATCTACAATGTTGACATCTCGGCTAAAGCAACTTTTAAAAAAAAATTCATTTGCAATTCATGAATCATTCCTGGAATTAGGCATGTGAATCGTATCAAGTAAGACAAGTTCATGTCGGATTTTAACAAGTTCATGTTAAAAAATATTTCATTCATAATCGATTCATTTATTAATTCGTATCTAACGAATCACGTGTAATCATTATACAAACGAGTTTTTTTTTATATTTAATAAAACGAGTAACTAAAGAAAAATTTAAACTTTTTATTATTATATCATATTAATAAGTTTTGCTGAAAAAATACTTATATTTGGCTGCATCTCCAGTAGTGAGTGCCACGTCATGGATGACGGACTCATGCCCTTCCTTGTCCTCTAACTTTTCTCTGGTTGCGTCAAAGGGCACAATTCCTTCTGGCTTTGTGGCAGTGAGGGCACATTATGGCAATGGATTGTCTTGTAGTGCCTCCATGTACCTTTTAATTGAGATGTGACTGTGAGTACTTTCTCAGCCACGGGAAGCATCTCTGATTGTTCGCTTGTCGTGTGAGAGAAGGAGTCTTGGCTTCGAGTCTGGAACCAAAGCAACCCCCTTTACAAAAACAAAAACACTAAAGAATCCCAACAAAGATAGCCAAATAGGATTTCATGCAAGTGTAATCTGACTTTTAATAAAATTAATTTAGTATAGGTTAGTATTTTTTACCAATAATATAAATTCGAGACTGACATCCTAAATTCAAGTTCAATGTTTTAATATATGATTTGATTTTGATTCAATCTAAATAAGATCTATATCTTTAAAACTTTAAGATGAAATTGAAATAAAATTTAACTTAATTAAGTTATTCGGAGTGGTTTTTTGTTTTCAAAAGATATGAATTTAAACTGCAAAAATAAATCCATTCGGTTGTAAAATGAGATTTGAATTTAAATTGGATTTTGGCGGATACAAATTCAAGGGCTCTACTATGAAAACTTAGGCATGTGAATAGCCACCGGGCTTGCTACGGACTCAATTTTAGCCCAGTCTCACTTGAACTCAAACTAAGTTTTATTTTGTTGGAATTTGGACTTAATTAAGTTAAACTACATTAAAGAAATTTATTTGGTATTAAGTGTATTTTTTTAGAAAAAGACCATTCATTGTTGTCTCCCTTACTCTCTCTTCCCTATTGTTTTTCTATCTCTCTCTTCATTACTTTTTCTATATACTAGAGATGACAGTTGACCAAAGGAGGGGGCGGGGAATGTAATCTCTATTTTTTTACCCGTTTAAAAAAATTTCGTCCATTTTCGGTCCACCCCTGTTAAAGGGTATAGTTTTCATCTTCATATTTGTCCGCGAGTAAATTTGTAATTCCCACCCTATCCTTGCCTTCACCTCAAGCCCAAGTCCAAGTCCAAGCCCAACATAATTCAACATTGTAAATAATCCAAAAAATAAAAAAAATTGCATGTCACCAATTGAAAATTATAACATAATTTTTCTCATTAATAAGGACTAGCATTTGGTGAAGTGAGCAGGCAAGAAGTCTATTCAATACTTTTCAAGTAAAAAGTCTATTTAACAATTTTCAAAGAGCAACAACCATATCCAAGTAGCATAAACTCAAAAATCAGCTAAAAAACATATCTAACACTATAATCAGAATTCAACAAAGACTATATTCAAGTAGCATAAAATCAGAAATTTAGAATATTGCATATCTAATACAGAAAATCAGATGTAGCACTGAAAAATTATAGAATTAACACAAAAAAAAAAAACAAAAATAGAACAAGCAATATCTAAAAATCTTGTATCTAACACACCATAGATCCGAAACAAAAGCCCTCAATAGCTAATACAACACAGACACTTAGATTTAATAAAATACATCAAAAATCTAACAAAAAATATCACATATCTAATGAAAACCATCAAAAAGATCACAAATGTAATAGATCTTACTTTTTTAGACAAAGAAAAAGAAGTGGGCTACTAAATTTTAAAATTAACTTTATTGGTGGTTGGGAATGAGATTAGGGTTTATATATACATATATATATAGGTTAGCGGGGGTGGAGTGGGGGTAAGTGTTAGTCCATCCCCGTTTTCATCCCTATGCGGATTTATATGAGTATTCTAGTATATGTCTATCGTCCAATGCGTATGGTCTATCGTCAATCCAACTGGAGCAGATTTGGACTAATACCCATTTTCCCCGGTCCACAGTCATCTCTATATATATCCCCTATTTTCTCTCTCCCTCTTTCTCTCTCTACTCCATTGATAATTTTTTTTTGAAATATGTAAAGATTTGATTTGATTTGTTTATCTCTCTTTCCCCTATTTTCGCTCTCTCCTTATATCAACGTTACAATAATATAATTACATCAATTAGTTGTAATTATCTTATAATACACCAAATAGTTACTCATGTGTTCTAATAAACTAAACAGTTATGCCAAATAATTATACAAAATTACAATACCAACTCAATTTGTCATTCAGTTATTTACATAATACATATTTTGGTATCGCGAAATGGTTACACCAATTATATAAACCAAATTAGGCTTATTATTACACAAAAGAGTTTATATTACACCAAATTTGATGCATATAATTGGTGTAACCATGTCGTTATACTAAATGGTGCAACACATGTTGGCCCAACAACCAATCTAGGAGGGGAGTGAATTAATTTTTCTAATTGTTACCCAATTTAAAATCTCAATTTTCACTATTTGTGAAATTGATAAATATAGATTACTAGATGTTGGTTAGATAGTAAGAGAGTGACAGTGTGTGAATAAACAATAAACGCAAATCAAAGTAAAGAGATAAGAAGAAAGCAAATACAAGGATGTATAGAAGTTGACCCCAACTCTTGGCCAACATCCTCTCTTCCATCTCCCTTAGAGATTCCTTTTTTTCTCTTTCACTTGAACTCTTCAATGGGTGAGATCAAAACCCTTATACTTTTTTTCCTTGAGTACAAGATGGTATTCGTCATCATAGTATATAACTCAAGAAGAGAGATTTTGACCAAAGGTAGCCCCTATGAAATCTTTATTTCCAAACTCAGTCAGTTTTAAACTTATTTTTCAAACATAGTCTTTTCCTAAAAACATCATTTTAAAATTAACACTTCTTAGGTGAAAATGTCATTTATCGTTTGAATTAGTTAAAATTAAATCTAAATTCTTTCATTTGAGAAAAAAAAATTCATATGCAATTCATGAATCATTCCTAGAATTAAGCCTGCGAGTCGTGTCATATGAGACGAGTTCATGTTGGATTTTAACAAGTTCATGTTAGAAAGTACTTCACTCATACTTGATTCATTTATTAATTCATGTCTAACGAATAGTATGTAATTAGTATAGAAACGAGTCGTTTCGTACATATATATTTTTTTGATTAGTTTTAGTCATGTCCAATTCGTTTATTATTCGTATCGTATTAGTTCTACTCATTTAACAAAACGAGTAACTAAAAAAAAACTCAAACTCTCTATTATTATATCGTATTTTTATTGTGTTAACGAATCGAATTATATTTTAACGAAAAATACTTTTATTTGGCTGCGTCTCTAGTAGTGAGTGCCAGGTCATAGATGGCGGAATCATGCCCTTCCTTGTCCACTAACTTTTGTTTAGTTGAACCTTCCGTAACTTTTGTTTAGTTGCGTCAGAAGGCACAATTCCTTCTGGCTTTGAGGTAGTGAGGGCACATTACGGCAATGGATTGTTATGTAGGGCTTCCATGTACCTTTTAAGTGAGAAGTGATTGTGAGTACTTTCTCAGCCGTACAAAACATCTCTGATTGTGGACATGTGCGTGTGAGAGAGGGAGCCTTTGACTTTGAGTTTGGAACCTGATGGGACTCGTCTGAAAAGCCCTAAGATGAAGACACGTGTCCTCAGGTTTTTTGGAACAGTGTTGCTCGGAGGTAAACACCATCGGCGAAGGGGGTCCCCTCCCCCGAGGTACCTCTCATAGGATCATGCATTCGGTGTATTATACAACACGTGTCCTCGGTCACCCGTGTACCTCGGAAACTTACCACCCTCGGTCCCCGAGGTTAGCCTTTCCTCGGTGCCGAGAGTCACTCCATCCTGGACGCTTCCCATACACCCGGATAGAGCTACTGACGTACGGGTCATCAGCCTATGCCAGTCTAGACTACTCATCATGACCTCGTCTTACACAAGTAATGTCAGAGCATACCGAAATACAGTAATCACAGCCAGTAAGGGATGGACGCATGGCAAATGATGTCACATCAAAGACAGACAAACTGCACGCCGTTACTGACACATGGCTTGGGAAGGCAAACAATTAATTGCACCCTTCTGTTGACGAGACCGCATTCAATGCGGTAAGGTCAGGATATGAAAGACAAT